GCCCGAGGGGAGGTCTCCGCCCTGGCCGTCTTCACAGCCTGCTCCGCCCTGGCCGCCCGAGGGAAAGTCTCCGCCCTGGCCGCCCGAGGGAATGTCTCCGCCCTGGCCGCCCGAGGGAAAGTCTCCGCCCTGGCCACTCGAGGGACTGTCGACTCCGCCCTGGCCGCCAGATGAACTGTCACTCCCTGTCCCCGTTTCCCTCCATGGACCTGGCCCCCCCATCCCTCCCCCTGATCCTCCACCAGTCCACCTCCCACCTGGAACCTTGTTTGTCTGTCACGTCTTGGAGCGTCTGGTAGCCGCTCCGTAGAGGGGGGGTTATGTCACAGTGTCTGGTTTATGTTCCTTGGGTCACCACTAGATGTCCTCCTTCCCCACGGTGTCCATCACACTCTTGAACTACATCCCCCATGATCCTTGTCTTTTCATTGCACTCAGCTGTCTCTCATCACTGATCATTGTACTCAGCCATTTCCACATTATCATTAACAATTCCCTGTGTATATAACCCTGTCTGTTTCAGTATGTGTCACGGAGTCCTTGCATTTATGTCCCCACACTTCTGAGGTTTGTTCTGCTCGTTTCTCGTTCTCGTTCTTGTTGTTTTGTTCTTGGATTGCTTATACAGTGTTTGACCCTTGCCTGGACTGGATTACGTGTATGGATTACCCAATAAACATACTGCTACTGGATCTACTGTTTCCCTGTGTGTGCGTCGTTACAGTGTGTGTGTGTTGTACACACGTTCTTGCTTGAGGAAAGGAGGAAGTCAACTGACAGTCCATACCTTACAGCTGCGGGGTTTCCACCTGACAGGGTGTTCTACGACAGGTGGAGGGCTATGCAGTTTGCCAAGCGGGAGGAGCACCTCTTGTGTAAGTTGATGTGCTTTGGTTATAGAAATATGTTTTTTTTTTTTTTATAATAAAGTAACATAATTCACATTTTGGACAAGAATATTAATTTAACATTTGTCTTTGAAAGCCCAGTGTTTAAGACGACCCCCGACTGTCAGCAAGGTGTCACTGCTGATCCAGAAAGAGGGTTGGACTGGCAACTGTCCTAGCCCCAAGTATGTAATGGAAAAGTGGAAAACCCGTCACTAAGGTGCAGGTGGAGTCGGATCCATGGATCATCACTATGATCCAAAACCAAAAGTGGACAGGCCTGGCCCTCAAGGAATTTGGCACAAAAGGACAAGGTATGCAAACATAACACCTACAAATTCATACAATTTTTGTCTTGTATGCAGATATTTGTACTCCTGGAGTGAATACTAACTGCACCTTCTTTTGACCACAGGAGTTGTTGCCACCAAAGCCTTTGCCAAGGGCTCCATCGTCTGTGATTACCATGGCAAGCTAATCACAGGAGCAAAGGGCCGGAAGTTGGTCGAGTCCATCAAGGGTGACATGTGCTACCTTTTCTTTTTCCACGCTGCCGACCGGGACTGTGCCGATCTGTGTGGACGCTGAGACTTTCCCTTGCGAGTGTCACCCAGGAGAAAACACCATGGGCCGGATAGGGGTGTGCCGGTTTCAGAATTGGTGATGACGGTTATGAAGAGAGCAAACCTGAGGCCGGTCCACTGCACGATGAACTTCCCTGAAGGACAGAGGTTGGTCATCCTGTTCCGGGCAAAGAGAGACATTGGTTTGTGCGAGGAGCTGCTGTTTGACTACGGCGTCTTTTCGAGGAGAAGCAATGGCCCTCGACTGGATGGATGACTGAACACGATGTTGTCACAATACTGGGAGCTTGACGATCAGGCCTCCCTTATACTGAGGCAGTGGGAGACATGCGAGCAGTGAGGAATTCACTCTCTTTTATGTCACAATACTGAGAGCTTGCGTATGGACTATCAATGTTTTGTCACAATACTGAGAGCTTGCGTATGGACTATCAATGTTTTGTCACAATACTGGGAGCTTGCGTATGAACTATCAATGTTTTATGACAATTGTGTCATATCATTGGTATTCGTGTAAATGGAGCCTCAGTTGTGTCATATCATTGGTATTCGTGTAAATGGAGCCTCAGTGTGAACACATTATAGTATTTAACTGCATTTTTCTATGTACATTTCTGAAATGCACTATTGTGAAAAGCACTATTCAAATACATTTTAATTAAAAAAGCTCTACATATTTCTGTTTTAAAAATAAAGATTCATGACATTGTGAATAAAAGTGATTTTAGATCAACACTAAAATGGTAAAGCACATCAGACGTGTGCGCTTCGCTACAAAATAAAACTGAAATGTGTATAATACTGCAAAAAGTAATAATTATTTGTAACTTTATTCATTTGTTATTTCTGCTTCAGTTTTGTTATTGTTTATTTTGCCATTGTATATTTTTTGTTATTGTATATTCTCTTTACTTTTAGTTGTAATGTAACTTTTTCATAATTTTGTTAATAAAGTACAATTTCCTTTACTTTGTTTTGTTGTAATATAACTTTTTCATAATTTTGTTAATAAAGTACAATTTCCCTTAAACAATTGTTTGATTTCATTCTTACCATTATTAGTACCAATCGACATGATGCCTAAACTTGCTATGCATTATGGGAAGTGAAGTTTTTTTCTTTCAACATGAACAGTATTCATTTTCACAGGAGATTCAAAGTTGAAAACTGGAAATCTGCTCCCAAACGTTTAATACACTTAATTTAATACAACACGCCGTCTAATACACTTTTCAGAAAAATCAGCAATCTGTGATTCTGGAAGAAATATGGCCTGATGTGTAAGTGATTTTTTGACCCTCCGAACTACATTTCCTATAACTCATTGCCCGGACTCATCAGCGCATTCACTTGTGCATCATTACCTTGTTTAAAGGTGCAAAACGCAGGTTTCTGAGTTTTTGCAGAACTACACCCCCTCTGGCGACAAGCGAAACTGCAACCAGAGTTGTGCACACTCATAGACCATACGCACACGCACGCATGCACGAGCACGAGCTGTTCATAACTAAAGGAGCATCTGCCGCACAGGTCTTTGGTGTACAGCCAAAATGTCTTCAGAGGTAATAAAGTTATAAATCTGCAAGTCATTTCAAATATATGGAAGGAAAGACATTTGAGTAAATTACTCTTATGTGTGAGGGGAAAACGGGGGTAGTAGAAAACTTTGTGTTTACTGTATCCACCTATGATTGTATTGTAATTGTATTGTTATGAAAACACGTTCATGAACAATATAATTGATTACTTCGCAATAGTTCAAATAATAATCGTACACGGTTGGTCAACAACGTTCACTCAAATGTCTCAAGGTAATAAACAATCAAATGTCACCATGACGTTTTCATAAAAGCCAAACAGGCTAAGCCGCCGAAGACTTGCGGGGTTCAGCCTGTTTTTTATTGATCTGCTAAGTAGAACATTCCAATAACAATACATCCTTTTTCTGTTAGAACTTACTCAATTTGTGTCTAATTATCGGTCATATTTTTCAGCATGATATATCACACTCAAGAATCTTGAACTGTTTTGCTAATCACTAAACTACATGTAGCGCTGATTTATTTAGTAGATATTTTGACAGGGACAATACACACTGACAAACATTAATGTGAAATGTCTCAATACTTTATTTAGTAAATAGTTAGTCTGCTAAACAGTATGAGTAAAGTAAAAATATTTACCCCTTTACCATTGTATTTCCCTTCCTGCAATGTTCAGAATAAAACATGTATTTTATCACAATACCAAAATATTTTACGTTTTCCTCGTTTTGATAGAATACGAGCTCTGACCAATTTGATGTTACTGTGGAGAGAAGCACTGAGGATAGCAGTGACAGCAGTGAAAGGGGCAGAGCACAAGGGAGACCAAGGGGGAGACCAAGGGGGAGAGGCAGAACTACTAGTGGCAGGGGAGGGGTCAGGGTCAGGGCAGGGGAGGGGAGGGGAGGAGGGCGAGGGCAGGGTAGGGGAGGAGGCCGGGGTAGGGGCAGAGAAGAAGAAGAAGAATCTTTATTGTCATTATGCTCGCACATAACGAAATTTTGTATGAGACTCTTGAGGACAATCAAGATCTAGATTGATCAGTGAAGAGGACAGACAACGTGTGGCTCAGCTGTCTGCAGCCAGGACAGCAGAATTGCAGGTTGGTCTCACTGTACACGATCCAATTACATACATCCAGCCAAAATTTTTATATCAATGAATACTTATGATTGCAGGCACAGTTACAACGACTGACAATTGAAGAGAGGGATGAAGTACTCGAGATGGTAGTCACTCTTTTACCAGGTGTCCTTTTTGACATCATGGACTATAGGCAAGCTACACCCGGACCAGCTCCACCTAACAGTGGTCCTTTGACTTGGTGCACCTGTCTCAACTGCAGATTGATGCCTAGTGACATCGAGAACAGATGTTGTAGACAGGATCCAGCTGGCTGTGTCAGCAGAAGTGCACATATGGAACTTTACATTTTGGATGAGGGCATCCTGCGGCTGGCTCGACAGACCTGGAACGACATCCTTGCACTGGATGACAGCCAAGACCCTGGAGCGGACAATCGCGAGTATCGATACTCAGCTTACCGGCAATTCACCATCTGGCAACATGGCCGGCTCGGCACAGGCAATCGGGCTGTCATTCCATCCTGCTGTGTGTGGAGAATCCGAGAAAAATATCCTGACCCTTTTGGTAATTATGTTGGCTATAAAGAAGCACCATTCAGACAATTAAAAAGGAGTGAGCACATCATAAAATATGGCAACAAGTTATTGAAGAAATGGCTTTATTGTAAAAAAAAATATTCCTGTCTGTAAAAATAAATAAATATACATTGACTATTTTTGTATTTGACTCTGTTCAGGGAGCTGATGGCATCAAAAAAAAGGATGAATGGTATTAGAACAGTTAGAACAGTTTACTATGGAAAAGAAAAACAACATTGAAGTGATGTAACTAAAATAATGAATGAAAATAGATATCTTGCTTATATAAAAGAATAACAAGTTTTTCACAACATACCTGCCCTCTTTGGACCTGTGACTGCACCAGATCTGCTGTAGGAGGGGGCACAATGCCAGACAGGGGTCCCAGTAACCGAGGGTTATCTGGTCTGTAGCTTCGTTTTCTTGGGAGTCCTCCTGCAGACTGAAGTCATAATCCTAGAATTTTCATAAGCAGGTCAGGGATGTAACTATAGTCTTTTGCCTCTTTCACTGCTTGTACCCGATAGCGCTGTGACTTCTTGCTGTACAGTCTTTTTTGCCTGCAGAATAAATTATATTGCATTAGTGCTCTAAACATGCATTATATTGAAAAGTCATATAGCAATCACTTACATCACTTGGCCTTTGTTGTTGACATGTAGTGGTCGGTTGTTGTGGTGGTTGTAGTCCAACGCCGCAAGAAATGTCCTGGCTTCATAGGCTTCATATGAAAAGGCAAACCGCTTGCCAGCATACATGAGTATGTGGTTTTGGAAGGATTCTAGTTGTGAAGTTGTCCTAGGAAATATAATGAAATCAAATGACAATGGGTCATGGTCAGGAATGAATATTCATATTGAACAACGTAAAAATTGGATTATAACTGTTTATAGTAACATACTTTTTATTCAATTATTCAGATGGCCATACCTAGAAAATAAACATTCTTACCGGAAGGTGAGAAACTTCTCAATATCCTTGAGCCATCTGCGGTTGAGCACTATTTGTGACAGCGCCACATGTGCTGTAGATCCAGGGGGCCCATGGAGGCATCTGCCAAGGGCCCATTCATGTACTCCACTGACATGGAGTACACCTCGCCACACACCCTAAAATACACAAATGTCTTTTACATAAAAACCCCAGAGCCTCTGTAATGTAATAGTAGAAGCAAATTTGACATCTATTACTACAGTACTTAACAATACTATTGCATACACTTTGAATGATCATACTCACCATAAACTCCTCTCTGTTGTTTGCAAGTTGACAAGCAAACCAAAAGTGGTTTACTATATCTTTTATCCAGGCAAGTATACTTTTTTGCCCTGACATCATCCCGGCCTGTTGAAAGAATTCAATTGTTTCAGTGATGTTTCATTACTGCATGTCACTCTCAACATGAAAGTCATGTCACTCACAACATGAAGTCTCTTAGTGAGATTCTTTGCATTCTTTGCAGCATGCCAGACGTCAAGGGAATGTAAAACACCCTTCTCCTTGTATCTCCCCTTTTCTGGATCTGTTATGAAACAAACATTACAAAAATGCAACCATCACCATCTCAAATTCAAAAAATATTCTTACGCATGAGTGAAGCAATCTGCACATGTGCGTCAGTCACTATTTCTTTGATGTTCAACTCCCTCAAAAGGACATCAAATGTTTTGATAAAGGCATCCTTCTCCATAGACGTGCTCTTCCTACCAACATGTCTTTTATCAACAGTGACAACGCTTATGATGTCATGGCTCTCCAGCTCCATTGTAGTGTATGTGCAATACATGGCTGAGTGTCCTTATAGAACAATAACGAACATATGAATGTACATACAATACATACATAAAATTTTAAGTTTAAGTTTTAAACATAAAAAAAATTTAAACCACTGAAATACCTGGGGAGTCCATTCGTCCGTCAGCTAAAATAGAAATACATATGTATGTTAGCTATTTGACAACATTGCGAACACGGTACATGTAATTTATTACTTACCAAGGACAACCACACTGTCTTTAGTCTATAATCGGTTGATAATGAGACCCCTCTTCTCTGTCCAAAAGTCCCTTACAGCTGGCACGCAGTAAAATGTTGTATCCCATAGTGTGTTGAAGATGACACCATTTTGATGTTCATATATTTGAAGAGGAGGGCAATCTTGGAGTAATTATTCCCAGACATTAGAATATTTGATGCAAGCATAAAGTCCCCTCCTTGCATCCCATGTTTGAACAAAGGTTGGCTGTTCCAGATCCACAACTTGTGTTGGTGTGGGCAAAACTATGCAGATAAAGAATAAGTATTACAAATGCCCATACATTGTATTCCATTTTATACTGTTGTTCATTATTATTTATAAAACATTGCATAGGCATTTGGTACTCACCCACTCCAATATAACCGCAGTGCCTCGCACACGCCACTGGACATTGAAAGGAGGACGGCCGTCACACTCCACTCCTGTGCTGTGGTTAATGTAGTTGCATTTGGTTATAGGCAGCTGAAGAAAAGTGGCCATTTGCATCAGGTTTTTGGTGTATGTAATACAGGCCTGCTGGTTAATTAGGTCACTCTCAGCAACCACATGCAGAAGGCTTGGAAAGTTGGAGATGCCTGATGCTGAATCCCCTGCATCTTCCTCAAGGTCTACTTCAGGTGTCTCATCCGCTGGCTCATCCCGGTCACAAATATCCATGACAGCTTCTTCAAGGCCAATGATGGGTAGGTCATCAGTCGGTTGCAGCATAGGAACACCAGTGCTGTGCAACAAAAAAATATGCACTTTATTCATGCCTTTACCAGTTAAAGACTGTAGGACTTTACTAGGCATTATGACATAACATACAGCAAAGATATAGGTGGGACATAATCAGAGTCATATGGGTCTGTGTCCAGTTCTTCCTCAAACTCTATCCTGTACAAAAGATAAAATACAGTATCTTAGACAACAATATTTGAAAAAATAATAATAAAAAAACTGATGACCCCAAACAAAATAAATATTAGAATAGATAATTTGCAACTTACACACTATTTTCTAAATTGTAGACTTCCTGGTCATCTATGCCTGCAGCTCGATAGACTTGAAACTGCAGAAAAACACAGTAAAAAACTAATGCAAAAGCACTGCACGTTACATTTCAAAATAAATGTGCTTACCTTTCTTCCAATAGCCCCAAACCTTCATCTTCTCTTGTCACATATTATAACTAAATGTACTGAGTTGAACACTACCCATTATACAAGTTTAATTCAACATCAGAAGGAGCAAGGGACATGTTTTATTTCTAAAATAGTCCCTGGAAGCAAACATACCTATCATACTCTCCTGCCGTGACTGAACTTGGTAGATGTGGTATTCCCAATATATTTGCAGTACTAGTAAATGCCTGATGAGGTGTGGATGTAGATGGTGCTACTACGGTCTCCTCATAGCTGAAAACAAGAAAGCCATTGTTACCATACAGAATACAATGAGTACATGTACAGGTAATAATGATTATTACATCAGAGTAATATCTAAAATAGGATTAAATCAGAGCTAAACCAGGTCCAGACCCAGTAAAGTTAGCCTCTGAAGAAAGGTATTGTTTTACATAGAGTATAATACATTGTTTCCCCCACATACCTCATATATACTACATACAAAATGTACCACATTCACGGGAACAATTTACTATTTTTACCGAAAAAGACAATATAGCCAATGCAACAGCGTTCTTCCTTGTTGGTCAATAACATGAACACCTTAGCATGTTAGCAATGGACACAAGGCTAACGTTATCGGTAGGCCATACACAAAAACATAGTTAGCATCTTTTATTGGATATGTTTTATGTTTCATGTTGTACTATTCTTCAGAACACAATTCCTAGTTTATGAAACTGTTCACTAATTATGGTAGTAAAATCAATTCGGATTGTACATGTATCTAGCTTACACTAAAGCATTACACATTTTACGCATCGTCATTTGTTGTCATACATAGATTGGCCGTATCAAACATTAGAGACTGGGCTATATCTTACGGTTTTATCAAGAAAAAAGCCAACTGAGGATCCCGTTTGAGACCAAGAGCAGACCGGAGATCTCTCCATTTGTTAAATGCCTTCCCGAGGTTGACTCTCGTCTTACTCCGACGCTTGTCTGACTCCAATTTGGCCCTTTTGGTGGCACTAGACAATTTTTCTTTTTTTTTTACTTTACGTGGAGTTTGCGTTGGGGTTTGGAATGGACTACAAGCCGGTCTCTTTGAATCCATCTTCTACTTTTGACGCACGAGTTGTCCGCTGATGCGGAGAATGGCGGCGCCGGCGAATACACAAACTTGCGAGACAGCCTGGTGAGCGTGAACACGCATGACATCACGCCCAGTCTCAATTCGAGCCCGAATCCCTCTTATATATTTTACTGTACAGGATTATAGAGGCAATCTCAGTGCGCAGAGAAGGGCTCAATCAGCCCATCAGGCAGTTCTTTAAGCATGTATAGGAAGAAAAACAGGTATTTTTAACATGAAAAGTTGCGCAATGCACCTTTAACTCACACTATAATAGCCTGGTTTTCACTAGTGGAGGGCAGATCGAGGCTTCGTGAAGCAATGAAACAGTTGAAGCATATGTGCCATATTGTGTCAAGGCTTCGAATCAATCCGACACCCGTCTCCACGGTGACACCTAGTGGTCACTTGCAGGTGTTGATCTGAAACAAAAAATGTTTTTATTATTTTTTATTATTGTATTTTTCTAATATGTGAAGCTTGTAACCTGTAGGCTCTTCACAGTGCATAATGTTATTTTGGTCATGAAAAATGAATATTAATAAAAGAAATCAAGCCACAATGTCTCACTTTCTTATAGATTTTTATTCAAAAATATTAATTTCTCTGCTGTCTAAGGACTTAGCCTACTTCTTTTTTTACAGATAATTTTTCCAGCCTTTGAAAAAATCCTCTCACAAGGGACACTTGTTGCTTGCATGCAAAGATATTTTTTAGCAAGGACATACAAATGAGGAAAGATTACTGCTCTCTCTTTCCAGTAAGTTAGGGGATCATGAGTTCTGGGCAAAAACGCATCGTTGAGGTATTTTTTCACTTCCACTGTGGCATTAGCTGTAGCATTGTGTATCATCTGGGTTTCACGGATACGATTATCAAAATGTTCCCATAAACTGTCCTGTGTTTCTACTGGTGTTGATGATGATGATGGGCCTGATGTTGACATTTGTGGCTCTAAATGAAAATGAAAACAGCAATTAGTAACAAATCCTAAACTGACAGCATATATGAAGTAGCCTAGAAATCTAGACGCACCCTAGCGGCAGCGAAAATTATTTCGCAGCCAGTGTGGTCTAGCAACTCTCCATAGGCTTTTGAGCTGGAAAAACCAAAAACTGGTCAGGCCAATCACATCGTGTATAGAGTCGGCGGGCGGGCTTAACACAATGACGGCACAGTTCATGACGTTCCGCGTGATTTCCATAGGTGATTTCCCTGCTACTTGAAAACAATGAAGATGCAGCGGTCTTTCGAATCGGCTTTGGCCGCGACTCTGGAGGACTTGGAGTTAAGAGAACGTCACTCAAGTCATTCTTAAAAAAAGAAGATGTGTTCGGAGTTTTGCCGACCTGATACGGCAAAAGTTTAATATATCAATTAGCTCCGCTGGTGGAAAAACGCATGGGACTCACTCATCCACAACCGTTCGTTGCTCTGGTTGGTTGTAGCGTTATCCTATTGCGTGCAGAGGGATTTTGAAAGGTAACCGTTTATCCCGCCCCTCGGATTGAGGCATATCAATGGAGAGTTCCCAGACCTAACGTCTTGATGTAGGTCTGGCATGCCAGGCTATATATGAAGTATAAATTCCATGAATCAGATTACATAAAATAACATAGACTGAAACTGCTCACCAGGAGTTGTGTTTGAACGCATCAGTGAAGCACACTCCAGTGTGATGTGCTTTTCAGCGTCCTGGGCTTTGGCAGGATTTTCCAAATGCCACATTTTTTAGAAGACTTTAGACTTTATTTGTCCCCATAGGGCAATTGGTTTTGCAGCAAGATAAAAACAGGGCAGTCACAGATGCACAAATACAAGACAAAAACAGGCCCTAAATATAAAACAGAGTATTGAGAAAAATAAATGACCAATAAAACCATTGTTAAAATAACATCTGAAAATTCATAATAAAGCAACATTTCCATAACCATCCTTATTTCAGCAGCAACATCATCAAAGCAAGCAATACTATACATATCATAATAATAATAACCCCATCACTATTTAATAGTTATAGTCTGTCTAGCCCTCCGGGCTGAATTAATGAACAAGATGGCTTTCGGGACAAATGAATGCTTGTATCTGTTATTCTTCACTGGAGGCAATCTGTACCGAGACCCGGAAGGCAATATCTGGAACTCAGAATGAAGGGGGTGGGAGCTATCAGAGATAACTGCGTTGGCCTTCCTAACTACCCGTCTATCATACAGGTCAGAGAGGCTACTCTGCCGGACACCTATAATCTTACTGCTGACCTTCACTATATTGGAGAGAGCCATTTTGGCCTTGACAGTGAGACTACCATACCAGCAAATTAATGAGAATGTTAAAACAGACTCAATGTATGATTTATAAAAAAAGGTCATGAGAGTCTTATCTACACGAAATTTTGACAGTTTGCGAAGACAAAACAGTCTTTGTTGGCCTCTTTTACAAAGCATTTCAGTGTTCGAATTAAAATTTAACTTATTGGCGATCAAACTGCCTAGATACTTATATGTTTCTACAAATTCCACCGTCTTCCCATTTATAATAGTGGTCTGAGGAGTTGATGACTTACGCCTAAAATCAATCTGCATATCCTTTGTTTTTTCAACATTTAGTTGAAGGAATGCCCTATCACACCAGAGTGCAAAATCATCCACAACAGGACCATGATCACTTTCCTCATTGGAGAGGAGACTGACAATAGCAGAATCATCGGCAATTTTTAAAATGTGTCTATTTTCATGCCGGCTGCGGCAATCGTCAGAATAAAGAATATAAAGGAGAGGTGAAAGGACACACCCCTGAGGAGACCCAGTGGATGATGACATCTCCTCAGACAAGCAACCATTCACCCTCACTCTCTGAATCCTGTCGGTTAAAAAATCAAGAATCCATCCCACAATATTAAAATCAAGGTCAAAGTTCTTTAAGAGCTTATCAACTAAAATATGTGGTTGGATTGTATTAAAAGCGGATGAAAAATCAACAAATAAAATCCTTGCGTGTGTTTTACTACCTTCAAGATGTTTGAATAGTAAGTTTAACAAGGTAGTGGTGGCATCATCTACCCCTCGCTTAACCCTATAAGCGAACTGTAGTGGATCTAGGAGATTCTCTGTTTTTGTTAGTATGACTTTTTTAACCAGTTTTTCAAAACTCTTCATGACTAAGGAGGTCAGAGCTACTGGCCTAAAGTCATTCAATAATTTTGGATGATTTAGTTTGGGCACTGGAATAACTGTTGACTGTTTCCATATCTTCGGCA